GAAATTTGTCACACTTTACTCTCACATTATTTTAAAAAATTGATTTCATGAAACGTATCAAAATAATTCAGAAGTTCAAATTAAATTAAGTACTATAGTTAGTTATAAATTTTTTTATAACTAACTCTACAGTGAAAATTATTATGAAAAATAAAATTAAACAGCCAAAGAATTTCAAACACAATGCCAATATTTTTATGAATATAAGGCGAAATTTATGATAGCACAGTAGTCAAGCGAAATCCATAGTATTATGAGAATTGAATTTTATTTCTTTGGCAATCTTTTTGTGTGTGAATTGTTTTATAAATAAGTATATATATTAAACAACTTTATCTTTTTTTTCATAAATTTGAAATTTTACCCCCAAGAATTTAACATTTCAAGGTTTGCATAGTTAAAATTGTTTTGATGTGGTTTTGTTGTGTTTGATTGTTTTTATGTGGAAATCAATAGCAATAACTGCTAAAAAAATAGAATTATTGTGTTACTCAAATGAGCTATTCGAATATGTCCTTGTGTCTGTAATATATAGAGGCATTTAAAAACCAGATAAAACTCCATATCCACTGCCAAAAATACAATCTAAACACTACATGAATTTACGATATAAGTGTAAATTGAGAACATCAAAAAAAGTTTAAATGCATGATTCAAATTTTGTATGTAGAATTTGAAATGAGAAATAACTGGAAGTTTAAAAACCCTGTAGGAATTAGTAGCACTAGCTGCGAAAAAGTAGACAAAACTATGAAAACATTTAAAATAAATAATGAAGCAATTTTAGTTTCAGGTGTAATAAAATTATTAAGAAAACAAACAAACCTGTTTCTTTTTTTTTTAATGAAAATTCGTAGCAATAACTATTGAAAGAATGATTGAAACGCTGCACGGATAAATGATATTGGCGCAAACCGAGTGTGTCAAATAATGATTTCTTTTCTCGAATCTGCAATTCCAACTCCGAATGCTGTAATAATATTTATATTTTCTTTAAAAAAATCTTGATGATATCATTAATAACTGAGCAATGAAAGACATGCGACATCAGGATTTTAAAAACAGAGTAAAAAATTGTAAGAATAATTGACTAAAATTTTTTTTTCAAAACACTATTTAAAATGGAATTGGCGTGAGTTGTACAAGTATTGTGTATGATTTAATGTCTAATAAAATGTCCCCTATGACAAAAAAGTAACTTGCCCCAGGATTTTGTCAGTTTTCAGCACTACAAGGTAATACCCCAGCCGCCCAGGAGTTTACATACCCAGAAATAAGAATTACAACAGTCTCTTTGGATCGAAGCTTAAACAAGAGAAATTAAAATAAAATAATTTAATTGGCTAGAAATTACTGCATTATACAAGTGTAGAACCTATTTTCATTTATTTGATTAAGATGAATAAAAAAGCAAGAATGAAGTAACAATTTATTTTTGATTTAAAGATATATGAAAACAAAACTGAAAAACATTTATTTAAAAAAAAATATTTAAAGAAATTATGGAGAATATTTAATTTAAATAAGTAACAACTGCTTAAACAAACCTAAAAAATTGGTAAAAAGTGGGTAAAAAAATTGTAATCAAAAAATGCAGTATTCGCTAGAACCAGAAGTGAAAGAATAACATAATTTTAAATCATTGAGATAAATTGAATTTTACTTGAAATCTAAATGAAAATTTGTTCATGTTTAATAAATTTTAAAGCTTATCTCTTAGTTTCAAAAGTATTAGTTAAGTTAAATTACTTGTAATTAGTACTTATCTATCTTCATGGACTCCACCAAATAGAAGCCTTGAATATTCACCCAGGAGTTGGCACAGGTAAAAGAGGCAGGCTGAATTTGAGATGGATAGATGGTCTACAGAAAGACCTTTTGGTCTCAAAAACTAAAAATTGGAGAACACTAGAAAAAAAAAGGTTAGTTAGGAAAAAACCTTTTTGAGAAGGCCAAAGCCCACCCTGGGCTGTTGAGCCATTGATGGTGTATTTGTATTGAGCTGGAACACAAAATATAGCAGATTTATCACACTCATACCAGCCAACACTGGAGAAATAAAATAACAGATTTTACTTGTGACATTTTTTAGGCAACGAGTAAAGTTTTACACCATGTATAATCGTGTAAGTCAAAAAGAGAAATTCAAAATTGGAAATAATGTAATAATGTTACATTTAGCAAGGTAAGAAATATGTAAATAAATCTTAATCTAAAAAAGATTTATTTAAACCATTATTTATAATTACTTAAACCAGGGGTCTGTATAGAAGAAATTTAGGTCTGTTAACGGACCTTTCACAAAATCTTTCCATAAAAACGAACCCTTCACAAATTTGTTTATCTTTATTACTGTTTTGTTAATTGAATAAACCCTTCATGGGAAAAAAAAAGGATGGTTCCACGATACGGAAATCTCCCTCCCCCGAAACGAACTAAGTTTTCCAAGTTTAAATTCCAAACTTAGTATTCTAAGAAAATATTTCTACTTTTACAAACATCGTGTGCACAGTCTTATTGATATTAAATGATACTTTTTTTTTTGTAAATAAATTATTGAACTATTTATATTTATTCATAAAATAGAATATTATGTAAATAAATATTTCTGGCAAATTTTTAAATAAAATATTAGAAATTATAAGTTGCGTTATTTAAAATATGTCAAATGAAATTATCAAAAATCTGAGTGATTTTGCTTCCATTATTCGTCCGAAAGGAATATTCTGCGTTGAGCAGTATAGGCTAAATACCAAATAATTGTATGTTGCGTCTCTAATTTAGTAGAAGCAATTGTTGAGCATAATCTTGTATCTATTTACAATTTAAATACTTTTTAGCAATTTTTGCAATAACAGGACCCTGGTTGAAAGAATGTGACTCAAGGCTTATTTTATATTCACAAATTATAAGTAGTTTTTTCACAATTTTACGAAAACAGGACCTTTCACAAAATATCTGGACAGACCCCTGCTTAAACTACTAACACTTAACATACTTCAGTACTGGAATAAGAGAAGTGTTTTTGTCATCAGCAAATATTTTATTGCTGAAATTTAATAAAAAAATTTCAACAAATACAGAGAACTTTGAAAATATATGGGTAAACAGGAGATAGTTGTAAAATACACCAGCCTTCATTAAAAAAACAGGAGACTTATTTAACAAAAAATCGTAGTGGAGAAAATTTCTCATTGAGACGAACTCAATCATAATAATTAGTCTCCTTTAACAACATGCACTCAGTCATCACCGGAAATATGATAATCAATCTTACATATAACAGTTCATATGTCCATGGCATGCACAACACAACAAAAACACATCTAACGATTATGCTCAATACTCTACAATCAAAAATTACAAATTCATAGTATTCCTTTCATGTGTAGCAGACAACTATTTTCAGAACAACTATGAATCATGTCGAACATTTTTTACTATAATTTTTTTTTTTGACAAATTGCACAGACATAAGTTTTTAGAAAATGTGCCTTTCAGAACAGTATATTGGTTTCAGAAGAAAAATTTTAAAATAATTTGTTAATGATCACATCACGATTATTAAATGGAATCTTGGTATTTTACTTACGAAGCAAGTTATAGAATTATGATGAAAACACTCAAAAATAGCACCAAATGTCATAAACATCATGCTAGTGCAAACAGAGCATAAATTGAATTTAAGTAATAGAAATAAAGGAGAAATTATCCTGTATTGTTTGTCAGAAAAAGGCAAAAATTAAAGAATTAGTTACAAATAGCTCATGAATAACTTTCATAAATTGGTAGGGCATTATCAAAGCATAGTGACCACAACTCAGGACATTTCCTTCACAATAACGTGTGAAAAAAATATTAAAATAAATTTATTAAAATAACTTGACTACACTTTCAATCATAACTCTAAAATAATTTTTAAAAAAATACAATAACACATAATAAATAACAAATAAAAAAAATCCGCAATAAAGTAGCTGCCCCATATATAATAAGCAAGTCAATGCAATCCCTATTGGGTTCCGAAAAACAAAATATTGAGACACGAAATGATAAAATTTAAATTTCGCATTAGGCGGCAATTTAACAATTTATTGCTCATATATGTATAATCGCACAAATGAGGTTCGGGGAAATTCAGGTATCCCTGAAAAAATATTCGTCAGGAAAAAAAATGAGACAATTTTTTTTTATTCCTTATGCCCTATCTAAAAAGAAATAGAATTTTTTTTATTATATAAATATAACACAAATACAGTTCACTGTGGACACAATTTGTCTGAGTTACAACCAGTGGCAGTGTCATTTAATTGCAGGCACAACTTGCAAAATAGGCACAATTAGTTGTTCGTACACCTCATGGTTGGAAAAAAGCCTGTTTTTTTTCCCTTCAGATTTGCTAGATTTAATCAAGTTTTTCCTACATGTTGAAAACCAAGGGTGGCGCCAGACTCTGCCCGACAAGGGGGTCAGTCTCCCCCGACAGGGGGGCTTAGGCAAATTAATTCAAAATATTTAAATTAAAACGAATTTCATACTTTAAATTTTTTTCTCACATCAATTTTTTGAAGTGTGTTTCTAAGAATCTAAACTCACTAATATTGATACCATAATGAGTAGATTCCTTTTAATGTAAATTTAAATCTAATTTTTTTCTGTTACCGATGTATTTTGTACTGTATATGCAATTTACCATACATTGTAAGCATAAAAATTATTTCTTTAATGAAAAAAAAAAGTTGTAGCAGTAACCGCAATTTCAAAAAATTTCTACACTTCTTAATCTCATAACTCAAAAATTATTCGTTAATAAAAATTTAAAATTTCATGCACATTTAACAAAACATTGATATAAAATGTTCTTTTTATGTGCATCGATTGGCTTTTGAATCATTTAAATGTTTTGCAAATAAAGTTTTAAGTACATTTTTTGCATCCACGTATTCCATCTTAAGATATTATGCCCCGTTTTGAACGAACTTCGAAGTGGTTATTGCTCATAAAACTGTAAAATTCGAATTGTTTTTTTTTTTAATGTTACATAGTATAATTTTACGGACAAAAAAAAGGCTATTTTAATGAGGGGACTCGACGTTAATATATATTGTAAATAAATACAAAGAGACTTTTAAAATTTCTCCTTGCGTCTCCTTTTTCTTTTCAAAGATGCTTTTAAAGTGAACATCTATGTCCGGCAAAATGCTAATTTCTCCATTTGAGAAAAAGAGTAAGTCTATCGGCTTAAAATATAAGATTCAAACAATATAGTTTAAATTTGTAATTATTTTTCAATTTACAAATTTTAAATTTGCCTTTGAGAAACAAATATTAACTAACTTAAATTTTTTAAAAAAAATTGCCACACATGGCTGCTGTTTGTCTGCCTATGTTTTCGTTTCTCTGCAAAGCTGAAAGTACACTTTCTACCAAGATTTCTGTTTCGCCCTGCAAAAGCTTTTTGCATATTGACATACGCCTGCTACGAATAACCTTTTACACAGTTAATTGATTATTGTTTACCAACGCGAAACATTCTTTCCCCTACAATTTAAATTTGCTTTCATAGTTACGAAATTTAAGTCACAAAAAATGGACACTAAAAATGAAGAAGTTAGGGGACAAAATTTCGAAAAATAGGAGTTTTTTTTTCTTTCTCATGACTTATTTGACCGATTTTGCTTAAACTTTGTATTTTGACATTTAAAATTGCAAATGATGAAAAAATTGTACACTTTACATTTCTTAAGTTTCTCGACTTCCCTTAAATAAAGTAATTGTTTATTGATACCTCGTCCCGCCCTATTCAGGGCACACGAGAGTAGAACAAACATTCTACAGACAAAACATACATAAAACAGAATAAATAATAAATAACAGAATAAATGCAGAGCATTGCGACATCGAGATAGGCATAGGAATTTTGATACACTTGTTAAGTTCAAGAAAGTAAATGTAGATTAGTAACTGGAAAACATAAGTAGATTATTTTGACAGCTGTCGAAAGTGTAAGGCTCTCAAAGAGGCTGGATAGCAAGAATTTTGAAAGGAAATATTAAATAAATAAAAATAAAAAATAAGAGTCAGTTATAAAACGTATGCAATGAGGAAAAAAGTTTATAAAGTTTCTCTAGCTATAGATATATTCAAGAGACATAAGTGAATAGATTGTGAAGAGACTGAGAAGTTATAGCTAGAAGGTGGTAACATTTAATAATCATTAGAATGAGATCGTAATTCAAGGAGGGCCTGGCGATGCGCAGGGCAAGTGATGTCTGAGACTTGATGATAAGGATTATGGCTGGTTCCAAAAAAGGTATTGGTGTGCCAACAGTTGATGCAAAATTTTTGGAGTGACATTCATTTGTGTGATGGTCGCCTCCGCAGTTAGAGCAAGTGGCGAATTCTTGAGTGCAAGAGTGGGTGGAATGATCAAGACCTTGACACCATGTGCAGCGTCGAAGTAGAATTCTTTTTTGACAATGCATCTGTTAAGGCCTATGTAGATGTGTTTTGTCCTCAGGAGTTGTTGAGCAAGTTTATGCGATACATTGACAATGATATGTTTTTGTCAACATGTTTTTTGTGAGGTATTGACTTTGTGTAGGTGATGGTATTGTCAAATGATGATTCACTGAAATGCTGGAGGATGTTGGATATACTGTTGCCATCAAAGAGAGCTGGTGCATTCAGAATTATAAGTGAGGTAAGGCGTTGTTCTTTGTCGTGGAATTCGAGCTTATTTTTGATGCTATTTGTTAATTTAGTCATTGCCTCATGATCGTGAAACTTAATTTCGACGAAATTCTTTGTCTTGAAAACCTTCTTCACAATTGGTAGCGTTGTAGAATCATTTATGATTTCGACGATGTCATCACCAGATCTGTCGTCTTCAGCAGTGATGATAATAGGTGCGGGAGGAAACTGTCTCTTGGCGATTTCGCTATAAGTTGGAGTATGGCAAGATTGTTTAAGCTCGTCTAGCTGGTCTGATATCCTAATAATTTGTCGCTCTAAGTTCTTAATATGTGTTGGATCAACTTTATCTGAGAGTGTAGAAATACGGTGATCTAGTTTTTCTAGTTGTTGAATTTGTAGGTATGATGAAGAGGACTGGCAGCTGAACAAGGTTTTAATTTTTTGGATTGCCTCATTGAAGCCTGTCTCTTGAGTAATTGAGAGTTTGAACTTATCACCATATTTGCTCTCTACATTTTTAACGATTATGCTGATTAATGTGTCTAATTCGTGAGAATTGTCAGGAGTTGGCAAAATTGAAGCAGATGGAACAGTAGTGTTGGCCGTTGTCGGTAATGGGGAAGATAGAGAGGTAAACTCATGATCGATGTTTGTGTTTAGAACGTTGTGGATTGTTTCGCTGAGTGGAGATAAAATAGCCCGCGGTAGAGTATTCATTGGACTATTCAGCACTGATTGTTGTGACATAGATAATGGATCGGCCTGAAGATGTGAATTTTCTTGAAAAGGATTAAATGGCGATTTAGCCGATATTTGGGATAAAGAAGATGTTTGTGTTTTGCTAACGCCTTTAGCTTCTGTTTGTTCTATGTGAATTGGAGAATGATGGCCAGTTCTGGGTAAACCTGCTAGATTGCTGTTTTGTTGACTTTGAAGATTTTGGCTGATTCTTACAGCTTGCTTAAAAGGAGACTCAGACGAATTGTGAACTGAAGGGAGATAACTTTTGAGACGTGTTAATGAGATGTCACGAGGCGGTCTAGATCTGCCAGAATTGTTCACTGGTGTTTGTTGATCAATTATAGTGCTTACTGTGTTCATGTTGGAAGATGTTGGTGTACCACTGATGCCTTTTGCCTCTATTTGGTCTCTGCAGACTGGAGAAAGGCTACGAGTTCTCGATGAAACCTTAAATAAAGTAATAATAAATGTTTACTAAAAGTTTTATTTTGCACGAAATTATCTTTAGAAAAGGAATATGAATTGATTGATCAGATTGGAATTGTATGCAAAACTTTTTCAATTAGCTTTAAAAAAAGTGGGCTGTAGTAAAATACGCAAAAACTAAAGTAAACAGTAAAGGGTGCTAACTTTCAAGCGCGCTCCTGAAATAAAACAATATTTCTAAAACAACAAACAATACAATATTCTACTATATTTCGGGGGTCAGAAATCCGAATCCGTCGAAAAAAAGGTATGTCTTATCGGATAACGATTTTATGTCTAATTTCCTAACTTAAAATATTGTTTGGACTAATTACTTAGTATATTTGATACAGAGCCGTTTTTATGTTTACAGGAGCCCTGGGCTTGTAGACTGGGCCCTTTATGAGTAAATTTAGAGAAAAAAAATTTTTTTTAAATAATTTTTTAATTTTTTTTTTAAGAGTAATAAACATATAAATTAATTATAAAAGCTTATATACATTATTTTTATCGAAAATTTAAGGTAACTATACTTTTCGCGCTTTTTGAGAGGCGAATCTTTTATCACATCATCAAAATCAATTTCCTATAAGACATACATTTTGCTTTGCAGATCAAAATCTGTTAGACTTCGAAACATAAAATTATGAAGGTGTGTAGAAAATATGCAAGGAGTTATAAAAAATACAAGAAAATACAGATTGATTATTATTTTTTTTTTTTATAATCGTCGTTGAAAGACTGACTCAATTTTGAGCCAATGTTTAACTACGTAACGTTGAAATTTTAAAACCAATCCAGAAGACAAAGAAACTCCTGGATCTATACCCAGAAGTATTGAATTGCTAAGAGAACTTGGAGGAGTTTATGACCCCGACCGATTTAACATGCACCAGTCACCATTTTATACTTGGGCAGGCTCAATTCGAACTCCCTTTCTCACGAACATGAGTCCATAGCCCCAACATCAACCAAGCTATCGTGGCCAAATTATTAGTTTATTTTATAACAGTCATTGAGCAGCCCACCAGATTTTGAGTTTACTACTACTAATGTTTAACTCCGGAGCCTTGTAATTTTGAACGCAATCCAGCAGTCTAATTTTGAACTCCTGGATCAAGTAGTGGAAGAAATTTTTGCCTTCCTGGAGGACGTCTTGATGGAACTAGCCAGCATTTGAGTTACATGGAGAGGAAAACCACGAAATCCTCCCACGGTTAGTCTGATACCAAGGGAACTCTAATCCATGATCCGCCTACCACTGAGGATATTTCACGTCAGCACTGTGGTCGGTAAAAGCCGGGTGTGGAATTCATATCGATCAGCCATCACCAGGATTCGAACTCGGTGGACCTCATTCGGAGGAGATTGTTCTATTCCATGAGTCCAACTTTATTGTTCCAATTTTATTGATTTGCTTAAATTTAATCATCTTCGAAATGTAAATGGTAATTCAATCGTAATTTTTGTAGAAAAAAAAAGGAAATGAAAGTATTAAGTACACATGAAAGTATTAAGTATATATCATTTTTCCTATAAAGTAAAATAAAGAAGAATTCTGATCTTTAGGAACAGATATTAAATAGTCTCATGATCGAATGATGGAGCATAATTACCTTTTAAACAAATAAATTTTTTTTTTACCTTTTAAACTAAAAATTTGCTTATTTTTAAAAAATTTATTAATACTCAAATTATTTTAACGATGATATGACAACGAAGTTTTTTATTTGATTCAGTCATTTATTTCCATTTTTTTATTATTTATTTTTATTTCATTAAATTAAATGCGCACGTTTGAAATAAAAACAAAGCTGTCAAAATTTCATATATATTTTCGATTTATAATTTTAAGAAATTCTTTCGACTTTGATTAGGAAATTTAAAAGCCTTATTAATAAAAAAATTGAGAAGCCTTATTAACTTTAAACACTTAACAACAACAAAAAGGAGTTAAAAATAGAAACAAATATGATCAATAAACACTAAAGTCATAAGCTAACTAAATAAATTAATTTCGTGTACGAAATATAATATTACAAATCAAACATATTTCATATTTAGGGGAAACAATGAAAATTTGGTTATACAGGAGTGAAATTTTTTTTTCTCATGTTAAAACATTTTTTTAGCTGATGATCATTTGATTTCATTGCTCTATTAAACAAAATCATATGTTGTTTCTGTCTGTCAGCAGTAAGTTAAATTAAAGTAAAATTACATTTGTTGTATCCATTTTATCCAGAACAGACCAAATCAAGAGTTTTGCCATACAGGCCAGTCAAAGAGGGAATTGAATAGTGGCCCGCCATTTAATTAAATAAACAAAAAAAATCTCATTGTATATATAACAAACTGAGCAAACCTTTCACGTTTTCCCTAAATTCAAATTGATTTAATAGATATATTTGCTTACCTCCAACGTGAAAGATTTATGTCTTCTTAATATCCTACGAAAATTCCTATTTTATTCCTTACGATTTATTTGAAAAATAGCAAAATTAAATCAACTACAATAATTAAATAAATTAAACAATCAGGCTAGTTGAAACATTTAGAATGATTAAAGGAAAGAAAAAGCTTTTATAATAAATCAGAAAAAATATCTTAATTTTGTAAGAGAGAAAAATTCAAATTGAAAGAGTCCCAACTTAAAGACACTGTGAAAATCTCAAGACAGATTCTAACAAGACCCTCCCCCTATTTACAGCCCTAGAAATGTTTTCTTCTTAAGAATTTATGACCAGAAATCAAACAAAAAGGTGTCTCTGTGGATATCTGATATTTCCGAAGTAAGGAAAAAAGAGCCCCAAGGCAATATCAAGAAGCTAAAAACATTTTCTCACAGTGTAAAGTGAGGAGGCTACTTGACAACTCTGTAGGTGGTAGCTACGAAAGTGGGGATATTTTCAATAGTGGAAAAAACGTTTTATTGCTCTTTTGGTTAGAAAAGTGAAGAATAACAATTATTTTATATTTGTAAATACTTCGATTAGATTTTGAAAAGCATCCGACTACGTAAAAAAGAAAAAATAATCTGAATAAATCTCTGAATAAAACTTCAAAAAAAAGAAGAAAAAAGTGGGTTCTAGGGGCCCTCTTGAGTTATAAATAATAAATGAGTTACAATTAAAAAAGAAAAAAAAATGCAATGTGACTTTAGACTTTTCGGGGGCCCCATCAGAACTCGAGGCACTGGGCCCATCCTTAAAAACGGCTCTGATTTGATGCCACCCTCTCGTATCATCACGAATGACTCCTAGAACATGAAGAACCCAACTTAAGATTAAAATTTATTTCGGTGGGTCCATTTATTTTTTTGCGCACAGTACATTCATTTGAAGTATATGTCAATATTGCTGATAATAGCAAAATAATTTTTAATAATTTTGCCGTTTTATATAGAAAGGTAATTTAGCTGGTGGTTATCCATATGCTTTGATAATTTTAAGGATTATGATTGAAAGAGGAAAATAAGGTAAAATTATGTTCACTTTCAATATTAATATCAGATATAAATAAATAAAAACATCTTTCCTTTTGTCCTCTTTTGTTAATTTCATAATAATTGCATAGTAAGAGCGTCAAAATAATAGCTCAATGATAATGATGATAGTATCTCAATCTCGTCATACCTCAAGAACGTTTTGCGTTTTGATTGAATCGAAATTTTTTTCATACGATTGCAAAAATTCATTTTTCCAAAGATAATGCCACGCAAAAAATATAGTTTTAAATAGTTATAAAATATTTAATATTATTTATATTTTTGTTTATAATATGCGTTGGAAAAATTCTGAATCCCGATTTTTGAAATCCCCGTGTAGTAAATGGATGCTGATGATGCACGTTAAATATGTCGAGTCGCAAAGTCCTCCAGGTTCCCATAACGAATCAATACCTGTGGGGGTACTTATCCAGGAGTTTCCTTGTCTTCTGGATTGGTTCAAAATCACAAGGCTACGGAGTTGAACATTAGTAGTCGTAAACCCGAAAATTGGGTCAGTTATTCAACGACGGATAAAATAAAATAGCAAGATATACAAATTTTTATGGAAGGTAATTTTAAATTGTAAAATACAAAATTTGAATGAAATCGGTTAAATAATTCGAGATAAATAAAATTTTAAACAAACTGACTTTTTTAAAATTTGATAACTCATAAACTAATTGATCGATTGCACTGAAGGTTTGTATTTTGAAATTAAAAGGATGTAAAAATATGTAGAACATACAATTCAATATATTTTACTACTTTTTAATAAACTAATAAAAAATAACTAATAATTATTTAAAATTAATTTTGCTTAAAAATTTGTGTGTAAAATGTTTTTCGTCATTTTATGCAAAAATTTTTCAATACACTCAAAAAGTTCTCGAGATAATAGGCTATAATCAAAGAAGTGAAGCTAAAATTAAAGGACCCATACTTTCCAACTCTCTCTCTGCCGTAACTTACTTCAGACCATATCTTCCAGATTGCGGCTGTTTCATCATTTTGAAAATTAAACTATAGACAAACTTGAAAGTTTATTTAGAACAGAATGCGCTTTTCTGGTCATTTTCGTAACTTAAAATATGGTATTGACTCTTTGTAAGGGAAAATATGATTAAATCAAAAATTAATCAAGGTGTTCCCTTTTTCCATTTCATACACTGTACATAAAATAAGTCAATGAGAATCTGTTGATTAATATATATTTAAAGATATTGAATACGAACAGTTTAATTGTTTTTCTGTATCAATCAACAATCTTTTTATTACTTAGACAATGATAAAAAAAAATGATAAATTTAAAAAAATTTGTTACTTTTTTTCCGACGGCATATTTATTGCGTTGATTAAAATATAAACCTTGAATCGGAATAAGTAAATGATTTTCCTCATTTAAAAGTATAAAAAAAAAATTGGATATTTTTTTTCTTATACTTTCATTTTACCTGAAAATATCAAAAAACAATTATGTGATCCCATAAACCAT